CTTCTGCATAGGAAGTCAGACTCAACATGACTGACTATAGTTCAAATCCAGTTCCAGTGGCTTTTAAAAAAAAAAGTAAAAAAAGAAAAAAGAAATGAATAAATAAATAAAATAATTCATTTTTAAAAATAAATAGAAGGGAACCAGCAGTTAGCGTAATGGCTATGTCGCTGGACTCCCACGTAGTCGACCGCGGTTCGCGTCCTGGACCCGGTGGCTTAAAACTCACGCCGGGCGCGTGTGCGTGCGTGCCCAAGATCCTGAGAGGAGAATGGAGGAGAAGGGATTGTGGCGTGACCATCCCCCCTGGGGGGTGATTTCTCGCTTTCTGTCTGTCTGGCGAGCGCACGTGCCCTACGGTGAAAATCTCCCCAAAAAATAAATAAATCAATAAGTAGAATTAAATAAATAATTCTTTAAAAAATACAATTTAATTAAGAAAAAAAAAGCTATGGAGCCAGTAGGTGGCATGGTAGTTAGGACGCTGGACTCCCACATGGCCAACCACGGTTCAAGTCCTGGACCTGGCAGCTTGCTTTCTCGCTTTTCTTCTCTCTCTGGTGAGTGCACATGCCTTATATAAAATTTTAAAGTAATAGTAATAAATAAAAATTCAATTATTGGTGCTGTCAAGTGGTGTGGTGGCTAAAGGTGCTGGATTCCCACATGGCCGACCGCAGTTCGAGTCCTGGACCTGGTGGCTTGCTTTCTCACTTTCCCTTTCTCTCTCTCTCTGTCTCTGTGTGATCAAATTAAAAAAACAATAACATATGGAATTAAATAAGTAAATGTTTTTTAAAAATTAAACTGTTTAAAGACAAAGATAAATGACCTATCTCAGAGTTTCTGGGGCCCCAGGGGTGAGCCACGGTGCCATAGTTGCTCCCACATAGGGAAGTCCTGGGTCTGAGGACGCCCCGGCACACCCAGGCACCTGGGCCCTGATCCCAGCTGCTGAGGTGGGCAGGTTGCAACATGAAGATCCTGGGGTGCCTCTGCCTCAGGAGAAATAAATAAACAAACAAAAAGAGCCTCTGAAATGGCCCCATAGCCCAGAGGTTGAGGCAGCTGGATCCCACATGGCCAACGACACTGGGCACATGCAGGTGCGCACCCAAATCCTCAACACGGGGAGAGCTGGAGGACCGATGGCAGCATGGCCGCGCCCCGCCCCCGGGGGTGCTTCCTCCCTCCTGTCTGTCTGTCTCTGGTGACCACTGCGCCCTCTGGCAAGTAAGACGGTTTCTATTCATGGGGCGGGGAATGACAGAACAGGTGAGCAGGCAGCAGGTGAGAAGGAGAGAAGGGCTCGGAAGCAGGAAAACGGCTGTGGGAGGAGGAAGGCTGGGAGGGGGCGGAGCGTTTCGTGGGTCCTCAGGGAAAACCTTAGGTGACAGCTGAGCATGAGCTTCAAGACGCTGAGGGGGAGACCAGCAGTTAGCGTAATGGCTGTCGCTGGACTCCCACGTAGTTGACCGCGGTTCGAGTCCCGGACTCGGTGGCTTAAACTCACGCCGGGTGCATGTGCGTGCGTGCTCAGGATCCCGAGAGGAGAATGGAGAAGGGATTGCGGCGTGGCCATCCCCCCTGAGGGGTGATTTCTCGCTTTCTGTCTCTCTGTCTCTCTCTGTCTGGTAAGCGCACGCGCCCTATAACAAAAACCGCTCAAAAAAAAAAGAAAAAAGAAAAATGTTAAACCTGCCTGAAAGTTAGGTAATAAACAGTCCAGAGGATACTCAGGTCAAGACGCACAGGGGGTTATTTTTCTTATCTGACGGGAGAGCTGAAGGAAAACAGTGTAGGCCGGGTACTGACTTCACCATGCGGTCTCACAAGCAGGCTCTCTCGGGTCACCATCCCACTGATCTCAGCACACTGGTTTTGTTCTCATGGTCGCAGACCGGTTCCCGCATCTCTGGGCATCACGCTCCCTGTCCTAGGAGAGAGAGAGAAAAAAAAAAGTAGAGCCAAAAGCCTGTCATGAGGCTTTGCTTGGGAAGGGTACACTCCAGGGACTTCCACCTGTGTCTCTGGAGCGGCCAGCCCGTGACGAAGGCCAGCAGCTGCCCCACTGTGACGTAGCTGTAGAGGTACGCAGAACCGGGGCCTGGGACCCGGGCCCCGAACTCGGCATAGCAGAGTCCAGACAGCACCGTCGGCAGGGCGGGCGCCCAGAAG